CATGTCTATCAGAAATAGACCCACAAAAAAAAAAAAAAAAAAGCTCGAGAAGCCAAGCTCAAATAGACACAGGAAGTCTGCCTTTTTGATTTGAAGCAGTCATTTTAGGGTGATTTTGGCTATTTCCTTTTCAATGGCAGTGACCCAAGCAGAGATGATGAAGACGCATGTCGTCATGGTCCTGCAGGGCTTCACACATTTAGCTTGCTCATGCTGACACGCCTGCAGGGAGTGTGATCGCCCCGTGTGGCTTGATGACTCACAAGAAAGGTCATGGATACATTTTACTCCTTGGTTATGGAAGCACTTTTTTTTTTTTATTTTTTTTTTACGTTGATGCCGTTTCTAGTACTCTCTGTTTTACAGTTGCCCACATACAGTACAGGAGCAAGCATTCGTGTAAAATCCTATCTGTAAAATGAGTTTTGTGTTTCATAAAATGTCATCAAACCGTACCGCCGTTCCGGATGCACTTCGGAAAACTTGAATTCTTTGCAATTTTTACGACGTCGTCCACCTGTCTAGTATAAGTGCTTCAAGTATGTGAGCATTTGGGCCAAATTTCCAGCAAGAATCTGTCTTTTAAGGAAACTGTGGAAATGGGCAAAATTAAATAAAATGGCCGCTTCAATACAAAATGGCAGACTATGTATTTTCGGGCATGGCTTCCTGAGACTTTGGGTCTACTCATGAGAGACATGTCAACCAAATTTCATGCTTTTAAGTAAAATAGGGTTTGGGGCACAATTTTACAGAAATTTACAGTTTCTTATTGTAAAAAGTCATCAAATATTGGCATCATGCTCTACCCACTGTTAATGATGTGAATCCAAATTGTTCGTAATTGTGTGTTGTTTTTTTGTCCAATATACAGAATTTGAATGTGATAGTAAACAAAATCTCTCGGAGAAGCCTGTTTTTGAAGGATACGTATAAAGTATGATATGGCTAAAATGGTCCCATCAAACCAAAATGGCGGACTTCCCGGGTCTTTTCAGGTATGGCTTATTAAGACTTTTTTTTGTATATTTACACATGATAGACATATCTCCCAAATTTTCTGTTGCTAAGTGAAACTAGCTTCGGGGACTGAATTTTCAGAAAATTTTGAGGTGGCTTCCGCCTCCTCCACCTCTAACAAACTCCATTTTCAGTAGGACGAACCTGAACACATACATATAGCACATTTGACAATAAAGTTGTGCGCTAATACAACTCCAGGTGTCGCTCTCGGGATCAAAACTCCTCGTGGACTCCCAGTGAATCACTGCTGGGAGGAAAAATGTGTCATCGACTATTTTGAGGCAGCACTTGAGAGGAGGGGAAAGCTGAACCCCACCGATGTGTGAGCACGACCACAAGCAAATCGAGCGCAAAGGCACCGCTTCTGAGCTTAACCGACTGCGACGGGAAACAGTTGCAAAACCATAATAGCTTCGTTTGGAGAAGCGAGTTTGGTCTGGAGCTTTGACAATACCCCACTGTCTGGCATCATGAGGACCCGGACCGGTTCCAGAACATGTGCAGACAAAAGGTACGTTGTTTAAAAAATAATAATAATAATAACGTCATGTTTGCGTGGTTGTGGTTGATGATTATGACAGCCATTAAACACATTATTTGGTACCGCAGCAATGCAAGCGCTCTATCATAAATTCAAATATTTTGAGTGACACTGCAATAGAGATATTCAATGTATTAACTATATTTTTTTATTTTGGAGAGTGTAAACAACGTGGGTTGTTACTACAATTTTTTACCCTCTTGTTTAGGTCACCCAAATACCGGAAATACCTTTCTGACGTTGTGAAACGTTATACAGTAAATTGCCACATTTTATTTCAAGCATTGAACCTTTGGATGTTCAAGTATCACAAATAGTGGCAGGTGAGTGTACCTAATGTGTGTGGTTCTATTAAATCACCCGAGCAGCACAAACTGATGATGATGGCAGTCAAATATTCTCCATATTTATTGCCAAGTAAGTCTCATCGTTATCAGTCGCCGTCAGGCTTCCTCAGTGTGTGCGTGTGTGTGTGTGTGTGTGTGTGTGTGTGTGTGTGTGTGTGTGTGTGTGTGTGTGTGTGTGTGTGTGTGTGGGGGGTGGTGTT